ATCTCCCCAAAACCCCAAAACCCCAAAACCCCAGGTAGAAAATCTCCTACTGAATATTCTTAATCCTAATATTTTTCTGTTTTAGATATGGGGACTAGCGATCTCCATGACCTGCTTGTGGTAATCTACTGGTAAAGCATTGTGCTCATTCAAAAAGGCTAACACAATATTGATAAAAACTTGATACTTGCTTTGGTCAACTGAATTCAAAGAGGCTTTCTCATACTTTTCCATATAAAGGCACTTGTCACTTCAATCGTTATGAGCTGTGTTCTTGAGAATAAGTTTGTAGCTGCCACCTGCATTTGTTCCTTCCTTATCATTCTTAGTTTTTGATGCAAAAACTGCATCATTTGCTTTAAGTGAATCAAATTTATCTTGCACCCATGGCTTAGACATGAATCCAGTTGGTCCATCACTGTGGAATAACTCTGTACTTAATGAAAGGAGGGGTTGTTTTAGGTCATAGTAATTTTCCTCAACTATTGCCTTGTAATTTGGCATGTACCAAGGATCAATAGCAACTCAGTATTTAAATGCATCTGGAAAAGTTTTGCACATTTCCATTGCTGACGTAGCCCCAAAGGAGTGTCCAAGAGCAACTAGATTATCAAAGTCTATATCCCAAGGTTCCTCTTTAAATTCCTCTTTAATAAATTTCAGCAAATATTCAACATCTTTCATTCTCGTTTTGAGCTGCTTCTCATGATATTGTGTTTGGGAAAGCTCGGTTTGCTCAGAATGGCTGGCATATGGGACAAACTCTTCTGGATCTTTACTAAAATCCTTGTAGCCAATACATGATCCATCGGTATGATCAACTGTGAATACAATACATCCATGACTGACCAGCTCGAGAATGTAAGCGCTCAGAGATGTACACCAGTGGGTTATTCCATGAGAAACAATAACAGGTGTTAACTTCTTATGCTTTGCTAGGAAATCTTTTTGCAATTTTCTATCTTCTACAGAATATATTCTATAAGTCAGGAGCTCATGCATTAGAATTGGATTTAAACCATTATCTTTTGCCTGGGTAGAGATCCCATCTGAGCCAGGCTGGAACCATTTCAAATTCTGTCTAATATGGTACTTGTATCCATCATATTCAGATTTCTTAACTGGGTAAAATACAATGCTGTTCATGTAGAAATCATCTTCTATAACTGGCTTGTAAGAATGGCCTACACCATAAGGGCCAGATGGCTCTAGTTCCATATATCTTCCCATGTATATCATTAGAGCTGTGCCGATAATTGGGCAAAGAATGAGAGGGTAGCCATATTCAGGAATAAATGGCCCAGTTAAGGAAACATCTCTTCCCTCATATACCTCAGCACTTCCAGGTATAATTCAAACCAAGTATGTTGGAAGGTACAAAAAGAAGGCTAGGAAAGCTCCATTTCTTGAATTAGGATTCAGGAATGTTGTTGCCATCAAAATAGCGAGGACGTATATAACGTATTTGTTGAAATATGTCGTAAACAACAGCTTTATCAAATAATCACTCCAGATGATAGCCAATATTACTATCTCATGGTAGGATACAAAAGTTCTCTGTACCATATTTAAATTTAAATTATAGCCTCACCCTAAAATCTTTCAATTTATGATGTTTTGCTTGGGGTTTTGGGGTTTTGGGGTTTTGGGGTTTTGGGG